GATGGGGCACTATTCCACCACTGACACCAATGATGGGGCACTATTCCACCCCACTGATACCAATGATGGGGGCACTATTCCTCCCACTGACACCAATGATGGGGCACTATTCCTCCCACTGATACCAATGATGGGGCACTATTCCTCCCACTGACACCAATGATGGGGCACTATTCCTCCCACTGATACCAATGATGGGGCACTATTCCTCCCACTGACACCAATGATGGGGCACTATTCCTCCCACTGACACCAATGATGGGGCACTATTCCTCCCACTGACACCAATGATGGGCACTATTCCTCCCACTGACACCAATGATGGGGCACTATTTTCTCCCACTGACACCAATGATGGGGCACTATTCCTCCCACTGACACCAATGATGGGGCACTATTCCTCCCACTGACACCAATGATGGGGCACTATTCCTCCCACTGACACCAATGACGGGGCACTATTCCTCCCACTGACACCAATGATGGGCGCACTATTCCTCCCACTGACACCAATGACGGGGCACTATTCCTCCCACTGGCACCAATGATGGGGCACTATTCCTCCCCTGATACCAATGACGGGGCGCCATTTTCCTCCCACTGACACCAATGATGGGGCACTATTCCCCCCACCCTCAACTGACACCAATGATGGGGCACTATTCCTCCCACTGACACAATGATGGGGGCACTATGTTCCATTGATGGGGCGCTATGTTCCACTGACAATGATTTGACACATTCCTCCCGAACAAAAATGCAACCCCATTTTCTCCAATATATGTAGCCCCCAACATCGTCATCACCATTCCCCAAGACGGCCATGATGGGGCACTATTCCTCCCACAGACACCAAAATTGCATTATGACACTATTCCTCCCACTGACACCAATGATGGCAATAGTCCTCCAACTGACACCAATGATGGGCACTGTTCCTCCCACTGACACCAACGAAAAGGGACTATTCCTCCCTCTGGCACCAATGATGGAGCACTATCCCCCCCCCCCCAACTGACACCAATGATGGGGCACTATTCCCCCCCCCACAACTGACACAATGATGGGGCACTATTTCATCCATTGATATGTTCATTGTGCGGTGTGACAAACATTTGAACATTTAGAACAAAAAAGCAACCCATTTTCTCCAATATATGTAGCCCCCAATATCGTCATCACCACCAAGCGGCCATAATGCGTTTTGTTCATAAATCAGGAAAAAATTTGCATTATGGACCACTAGGTGGCACTCAGATCTTCCATAGGCACAGTGCCAGCTGGCAGTTCATAGTGCAGTCTTTATCAGGCCCTAACATACAGTCATGGCCAAAAATATTAACCCCCCCCCCCATGACCAGGCGATGCCTGTCAGACAACGCACCACTTTGCCATGTTTCCACCATTCTCATGTGTCATCTCTTTGGTTTGTATCGGTGACACCATAAAGTGGAGAAACAAAAGCCAAAATCAGACCCATTCCACGCAAAACCTCCAAAATGGACAAAATTATTGGCACCTTCTCAGAATTGTAAGAAATAATTGCATTCCAGGTTTGTGATGTTCCTGTAATTTGTCATTAAACTCCCCGTATCCATGACCAGGCGATGACAACATGGAAATCACATCGACAAAAAATGGTGACAAATGTCATCCACCTTTCTGTTGGGTGTCTCTGTGTGCCACATGGAGCATGGAGGAGAGAGAGAGCAGCAAAGAATTGTCTGATGATTGGAGAACCAAAATGGGGGAGGACGCATGGACACAATCTCAAGGTGACAAATCCATCTCCAGAGATCTTCATGTTCCTGTGTCCACTGTGTGCAACATTGTCAGGAAGTTTACAGCCCATGACACTGTAGCTAATCTCTTTAAATATGGTAGGAGACCAGGAGGACCCCACTGCTGACACAGAAATATGGTGGGAGATCCAGGAGGACCCCACCGCTGACACAGAAATATATGGTAGAGGAGGACCCAGGAGGACCCCACTGCTGACACAGGAAATATGGAAGGAGATCCAGGAGGACCCCACCGCTGACACAGGAATATGGAGGAGACCCAGGAGGACCCCACTGCTGACAAGGAAATATGGGAGGAGACCCAGGAGGACCCCACTGCTGACACAGAAATATGGGAGGAGGAGACCCAGGAGGACCCACTGCTGACACACAGAAATATGGGAGGAGACCCAGGAGGACCCCACTGCTGACACAGAAATATGGGAGGAGACCCAGGAGGACCCCACTGCTGACACAGAAATATGGTAAGAGATCCAGGAGGACCCCACTGCTGACAGGAAATATGGGAGGAGACCCAGAGGACCCCACCGCTGACACAGAAATATGGGAGGAGACCCAGGAGGACCCCACTGCTGACACAGAAATATGGGAGGAGACCCAGGAGGACCCCACTGCTGACACAGAAATATGGTAGGAGATCCAGGAGGACCCACTGCTGACACAGAAATATGGTAGGAGATCCAGGAGGACCCCACTGCTGACACAGAAATATGGAAGGAGATCCAGGAGGACCCCACTGCTGACACAGAAATATGGTAGGAGACCCAGGAGGACCCCACTGCTGACAAGGAAATATGGGAGGAGACCCAGGAGGACCCCACCGCTGACACAGAAATATGGGAGGAGACCCAGGAGGACCCCACTGCTGACACAGAAATATGGGAGGAGACCCAGGAGGACCCCACTGCTGACACAGAAATATGGTAGGAGACCCAGGAGGACCCCACTGCTGACACAGAAATATGGTAGGAGATCCAGGAGGACCCCACTGCTGACAGAAATATGGGAGGAGATCCAGGAGGACCCCACTGCTGACACAGAAATATGGAAGGAGACCCAGGAGGACCCCACTGCTGACACAGAAATATGGGAGGAGACCAGGAGGACCCCACTGCTGAGGACACAGAAATATGGTAAGAGATCCAGGAGGACCCCACTGCTGACACAGAAATATGGTAGGAGACCCAGGAGGACCCCACCGCTGACACAGAAATATGGTAAGAGATCCAGGAGGACCCCACTGCTGACATGGATATATGGAAGGAGATCCAGGAGGACCCCACTGCTGACACAGAAAACATATTGGAAGCCATATTGGAGTTTGCCAAAACTTACCTGCGGAAGCCACAATCCTTTTGGGAGATGTGCTGGGGACAGATGAAACAAAATGGCAGCTTTTTGGTAACTCCCATCATTCTGCTGTTCTCAGAAAAAGCAATGAGGCCTTTAAAGAAAAGACTCCAGTCCCTCCAGTCACACATGGTGGTGGGGGGGGGGGGGGGGTCACTGATGTTTTGGGGTCACTTTGCTGCTTCAGGCACTGGATGTCTTGGCCGTGTGGATGGCATTATGAAATCTGAAGATTACCAAAGAATTCTGGGGTACAATGTAGGGCCCGGTGTCAGAAAGCTGGGTCTCCAGTGTCAGAGGTCATGGGTCTTCCAGCAGGACAATGACCCAAAGCACACGTCATAAAACCCCCAGAAATGGTTTCAGACAAAGTGCTGGAGAGGACTGAACTGGCCAACAAGGAGTCCAGATCTCCATCCCATAGAGCTCCTGTGGAGAGATCTCAGACCAGCAGTTGGGGAAAGGAACCCTTCCAATCTGAGAGACCCGGAGCAGTTGGAGGAAGAAGAGCGATCCAAAATTCCAGTAGAGAGGTGGAAGAAACTCATTGATGGTGACAGGAAGCCATTGATTTCACTTATTTTTTCCAAGGGATGTGCCACCAAATATTACATGAAGGGTGCCAATAAATGTGTCCAGTCCATTTTTGGGGATTTACATGGAATGCGTCAGATTTGGTTTTTTGTTTCTCAACTTTTTTGTTTGATAGCAATACAAACAAAAGAAATAAACATGAGAATGCCAAAAAAAATGTAATTTTCTGGGTGAAGTGAGGTGCGTTATCTGACAGAAATGCAGGAGGGGGGGGGGGGGGGGGGAGACAAGATTTATTTATTACAGGTATTTCTATAGCGCCATCAGTTTACGCAGCACTTTACATATATATTGTACATTCACATCAGTCCCCGCCCCCGAGGAGCGTACAATCTAAGGTCCCTAACTCACATTCATAAATACACATACCAGGGCCAATGTAGACAGGAGCCAATTCACCTCCCAGTATGTCTTTGGAGTGTGAAACCCACGCAGGCACAGGGAGAACATGCAAACTCCAGGCAGGTGGTGCCGTGGTTGGGATTCGAACCAACAACCCGAGTACTGCCAGGTGGAAGTGCTAACCATTTAGCCGCTGTGCCGCCCAGATTATTGGTCATGACTGTATATACTTTCCCAGGAGAGTCACTGTACTAGTGGCCAGTAAGGTTAGTACTCCCAAATTACCCAGGTCAGTGACTTACTAGGTAGTGAAGCTAGGATGAGGGTGACAAAGCCTGCCCCTTCACAAACATTTAAATACAGAGAACCCCCCCCCCACCCCCATTATCTGCTCTACAGTATGTGCTCACCTCGGCCAGCTTGAGGTTGGAGTGGTGAAAGGATTGCTCCAAAAGCTGTTGGACATTGGGAACGGTCATCTCCTGCTGCTTCTCTATGAAGATTTGGTAGCAGTAACACTCCTGGACACCTTGACCCTTTGACCTGGGGTAGAGAGCACAACATGAGAAGAGGAGCAAACTGCCAAGACAATGTCACTGCCAAGGTGAAACCAACGACCTCCCTCCCCTCCATCCTACGCTCCCTCACCCACATCTTCAATCTCTACCTCTCCTCAGGCACTGTCCCCTCCCCTCTGAAACATGCACACATCACCCCCATACTTAAAAAGCCCTCCCTGGACCCCAATGACCCGAACAACCTCAGACCCATCTCCCTGCTGCCATTTACATCTAAACTCCTCGAACGCCTAGTCTACACCCGCCTATGCTCTCACCTCAACGACAACAACCTCCTCGATCCCCTACAGTCCGGCTTACGTCCCCTACACTCCACCGAAACCGCCTTACTCAAACTCTCCAACGACCTGCTAACCGCCAAAGCTAATGGCCACTATTCAGTGCTCCTACTCCTTGACCTCTCTGCGGCCTTCGACACAGTCCACCACCCCCTCCTCCTCCTCAAAAAACTACACTCCCTTGGCCTCAGAGATTCTGCTCTCTCCTGGCTCTCATCCTACCTGTCACAACGCTCCTTCAGTGTTACCTATAATGCTACCACCTCCCCCTCACTCCCCCTCTCTGTTGGGGTCCCTCAAGGCTCTGTCCTCAGGCCCCTTCTCTTCTCCATCTAAACCTCCTCCCTTGGCCAACTCATACACTCTCACGGCTTCAACTACCACCTCTATGCCGACGACACACAAATCTATCTCTCAACCCCCACCTCACCCCCTTGGTCTCCGCCCGAATCACACACCTGTTGAGCGACATATCAGACTGGATGTCACTCCACTTCCTTAAACTGAACCTCTCCAAGACCGAGTTTCTTGTCTTCCCCCAGCCCGGACCCCACCCCCCATTGACTTCTTCATCATGTCCAACAACTGCCACCATCAAACCCGCCCCGCAGGCCAGAGTACTTGGTGTCATTCTGGACTCCAACCTATCCTTCCAGTCCAAGTCCAATCTTTAACAAACTCGTGCTACTCCACTCCTCCGCAACATGCAGACTCCACCTCCACAACATCGCCAAAATCCGCACGTTCCTAACCCCAGAAACCTCTAAACAGCTCATCCGCTCCCTCATCATATCACGACTCGACTACTGCAACTCCCTCCTCACTGGCCTGCCTCACCGCTGGCTATCCCCGCTTCAGTCCATCCTGAATACGGCTGCCAGACTCATTCACCTTTCCAACCGCTCCATCTCCGCCACCCCCTCTGCCAATCCCTCCACTGGCTTCCGATTGCGCAACGGATCAAATTCAAAATCCTAACGCTGACGTACAAAGCTGTCCACCATACTGCCCCGAACTACATCACTGACCTAATATCCAAGTACCGCCCAACACACACACTCCGCTCCTCACAAGACCTCCTTCTCTCTAGTTCCCTGGTCTCCTCCTCCCATGCCCGCCTCCAGGACTTCTCCAGGGTGTCACCCATCCTGTGGAACTCCCTGCCCCAACCCATCAGATTATCACCTACTCTCCTTTCCTTTAGGCGCACCCTGAAAACCCATCTCTTCAGGGAAGCCTACCCCACCCCCTGCTAACTTGACCGACCTCCTCCACTCTTCCTACCACTCCATCCCCCACAGCTATCTCCTCCTGTGCCACCATCCCCTCCCTCCTAGATTGTAAGCTCGAAAGAGCAGGGCCCTCAATCCCCTCATGTTTTGCATTGTATTGGTATTGTTCTGTCACATGTTCTGTCCCCCTTTGTAATGTACAGCGCTGAGCGAACTATTGGCGCTTTATAAATACTGTATAATAATAATAATAATGTATGCATGCCCCATCAAGGGGACATCATTGTATGCATGCCACGGACAAGTAGACATCAATGTATGCATGCCACGGACAAGGAGACATCAATGTATGCATGCCACTATCAAGGAGACATCAATGTATGCATGCCACCCGCCAAGGAGACATCAATGTATGCATGCCACCATCAAGGAGACATCAATGTATGCATGCCACCGCCAAGGAGACATCAATGTATGCATGCCACCATCAAGGAGACATCAATGTATGCATGCCACTGCCAAGGAGACAACAATATATGCATGCCACCATCAAGGAGACATCAATGTATGCATGCCACCGCCAAGGAGACATCAATGTATGCATGCCCCGCGCCAAGGAGACATCAATGTATGCATGCCACCATCAAGGAGACATCAATGTATGCATGCCACCGCCAAGGAGACATCAATGTATGCATGCCACCGCCAAGGAGACATCAATGTATGCATGCCACCACCAAGGAGACATCAATGTATGCATGCCACGGACAAGGAGTAGACATCAATGTATGCATGCCACCACCAAGGAGACAACAATGTATGCATGCCACTGCCAAGGAGACATCAATGTATGCATGCCACGGACAAGTAGACATCAATGTATGCATGCCACCACCAAGGGGACATCAATGTATGCATGCCACCGCAAAGGAGACATCAATGTATGCATGCCACCGCCAAGGAGACATCAATGTATGCATTCCACCTGCCAAGGAGACAACAATGTATGCATGCCACCGCCAAGGAGACAACAATGTATGCATGCCACCGCCAAGGAGACAACAATGTATGCATGCCACCGACAAGGAGACATCAATGTATGCATGCCACCATCAAGGAGACATCAATGTATGCATGCCACCATCAAGGAGACATCAATGTATGCATGCCACCCGCCAATGAGATAAAAATGTATGCATGTCACCGCCAAGGAGACATCAGTGTATGCATGCCACCATCAAGGAGACAACAATGTATGCATGTCACCACCAAGGAGAGATCAATGTATGCATGCCACCACCAAGGAGACATCAATGTATGCATGCCACCGCCAAGTAAATAAAAATGTATGCATGTCACCGCCAAGGAGACATCAATGTATGCATGCCACCGCCAAGTAGACATCAATGTATGCATGCCACGGACAAGTAGACATCAATGTATGCATGCCGCCACCAAGGAGACATCAATGTATGCATGCCACCACCAACGAGACATCAATGCATGCATTCCACCATCAAGGAGACATCAATGTATGCATGCCACCGCCAAGGAGACAACAATGTATGCATGCCACCGACAAGGAGACATCAGTGTATGCATGCCACCATCAAGGAGAGACATCAGTGTATGCATGCCACTGCTAAGGAGACATCAATGTATGCATGCCACTGCCAAGGAGACAACAATGTATGCATGCCACCGCCAAGGAGACAACAATGTATGCATGTCACCGCCAAGGAGAGATCAATGTATGCATGCCACCGCCAAGGAGACATCAATGTATGCATGTCACCGCCAAGAAGACATCAATGTATGCATGCCACCGCCAAGGAGACAACAATATATGCATGCCACTGCCAAGGAGACAACAATATATGCATGCCACTGCCAAGGAGACATCACTGTATGCATGCCACGGACAAGGAGACATCACTGTATGCATGCCACCATCAAGGAGACATCACTGTATGCATGCCACTGCCAAGGAGACATCAATGTATGCATTCCACCATCAAGGAGACATCAATGTATGCATGCCACCGCCAAGGAGACATCAATGTATGCATGCCACCGCCAAGGAGACATCACTGTATGCATTCCACTGCTATTTCCTTGGGTGTCAGGGCAATCCAGCCACAACAGGCAGAGGAGGTAGGTGATTGGTTCCCAAAGCCTGTATTCAGCCAGCGCCTATGAAGCCTGCTTTTCCTCCCACCATACCTCCACACATGCAGTTGACGGCTGAAGCTCTAATACGCCAGTGGCCTTAATCATAGAAGTTGGATGAGTAAAGGAAGTTAGGAACCTATATACGGCACCTTTACTCATACAATGCAACAATGTGAAAGCTGTAATGCCACACCATTAATGATTGGGCAAAATGCGTTAATGGTAACCCTGCCCACTAATGCATTTCATCCAACTGGCCTTACTCATACAAGGTGGATGAATCAAGAAGGGCAGGAACCTATATAATGCTCCTTAACGCCTAGAATGCAACAATATTAAAGTTGCAATGCGCCGCTAATACGTTTCACCCCACTGGCCTTACTCATAGAATTTGGATGAGTAAAGAAAGATAAGAACCTATATACAGCACCTTCACTCATACAATGCAACAATGTTAAAGCTGCAATGCCACGCCATTAATGATTGGACAAAACGCGTTAATGGTAATCCAGCTCACGAATGCGTTTCACCCCACTGGCCTTACTCATAGAAGTTGGATGAGTAAAGGAAGACAGGAATCTATATATGGCACCTTCACTCATACAATGCAATAATGTGAATGCTGTAAAGCCACAGTAATAATGAACGGGCAAAATGCGTTAATAGTAACCCCGCCTGTTAATGCATTTCACCCAACTGGCCTTACGCATAGAAGGTGGGGGGAGTCAAGGGAGGGTAGGAACCTATATACTGCACCTTCACTCCTACAATGCAACAAAGGAAAAAGCTCTAATGCCACACTATTAACGATTGTGCAAAAGGTGTTAATGGTAATTCAACCCACTAACGCGTTTCACCCCAGTGGACGTACTTATAGAAGGTGGCGGAGTCAAGAAGGGCAGGAACCTATATACCGCATCTCAGCTCCTGGATTGCAACAATGTTAAAGCTGTAAGGCCACACTAATAATGATTGGGCAAAACGCGTTAGTGTGTGTTTGCTCTAATTTGGCATCAATAAAGCTTGAAGCAAAAAAAAAAAAATACAGCAGAGTGTGGCTTATGTGTTTGTGTGCCTGGAGGGGAGGAGGATCCTGCAGAGTCGGGGTACCCAGCCATTGCCTGGAGGGGAGGAGGATCCTGCAGAGTCAGGGTACCCCCAGCCATTGCCTGGAGGAGAGGAGGATCCTGCAGAGTCGGGGTACCCCCAGCCATTGCCTGGAGGGGAGGAGGATCCTGCAGAGTCAGGGTACCTAGCCATTGCCTGGAGGGGAGGAGGATCCTGCAGAGTCGGGGTACCCAGCCATTGCCTGGAGGGGAGGAGGATCCTGCAGAGTCGGGGTACCCAGCCATTGCCTGGAGGGGAGGAGGATCCTGCAGAGTCGGGGGGTACCCAGCCATTGCCTGGAGGGGAGGAGGATCCTGCAGAGTCGGGGTACCCAGCCATTGCCTGGAGGGGAGGAGGATCCTGCAGAGTCGGGGTACCCAGCCATTGCCTGGAGCGTGTCTTTTATCACCTATACACACATATGTACATTTACCATCCATGTCTCAGGAGGGATGAGGATCACTTACTGTAGCTTCAGCAGAGGGTCGGCCCGGAACACACACAACACACAACACAAACAACACAACACATCATACACACACAACACACAACATAAAACAACAATCAACACACACAAAATATCAAAACACAAACAATCATACACACACAAACAATCAAAACACACACACAATCATAAACAATATCATACACACACAACAAAACACACAACAACACACAAAACAACACACAAAAACAAAAAATACACACAAAACATATCAACAAAAAACAAAAAAAAAAAAAAACAAAAGGGGTTCTAAAAAACTAAAATTTTTTATGTGGCTTTAACCCGCTGTGCCCATTATCAGGGGTTATCAAAATCCCTTGCTGAGTTCCCGGGTCTGTACACCCGCTGTGCCCATTATGAGGGGTTCCCACCATCCCTGTGCTGAGTTCCCGGGTCTGTACACCTGTTGTGCCCATTATGAGGGGTTCCCACCATCCCTGTGCTGAGTTCCCAGCTCTGTACACCCACTGTGCCCATTATGAGGGGGTTCCCACCATCCCTGTGCTGAGTTCCCGGGTCTGTACACCCGCTGTGCCCATTATGAGGAATTCCCACCATCCCTGCAGTAAAGTGAGAGCGGTACCTTTCTCGGAGGTGGTGAAGCTGGGGCACTGACTCTCCTGCATCAACTGATGTCGCAGCATCATCACACTGTCCGCCGAGACGTACCCGTTCCTGCCGAGGACGCCAGTTGGTTAGCAGCAATCATCATCTTTATCAATAATTCTATATATAGATTTTTGCTCTTTGACATTCTGCTTTAATATTAGAAATGTAAATCAGATATAAAAATAGCATCAAGTCCAGTCATTCATTCAGCATAAAAATAGCTGCACCTGCTATGAATAGTCTCTGGATCCGCTTCCTGTCATCAGGGCGGACAGCTTGAAACGCTCCATGTGTGGTCAGTGGGAAGAATGTCCCTTACATTGGTGTCAGTGGGAAGAATGTCCCTTACATTGGGGGTCAGTGGGAAGAATGTCCCTGTCCCCCGTTACATTGGTGGTCAGTGGGAAGAATGTCCCTTACATTGGGGGTCAGTGGGAAGAATGTCCCTTACATTGGGGGTCTGTGGGAAGAATGTCCCTTACATTGGGGGTCAGTGGGAAGAATGTCCCTTACATTGGGGTGTCAGTGGGAAGAATGTCCCTTACATTGGGGTCAGTGGGAAGAATGTCCCTTACATTGGGGGTCAGTGGGGAAGAATGTCCCTTACATTGGGGGTCAGTGGGAAGAATGTGTCCCTTACATTGGGGGTCAGTGGGAAGAATGTCCCCTTACATTGGTGGTCAGTGGGAAGAATGTCCCTTACATTGGTGGTCAGTGGGAAGAATGTCCCTTACATTGGGGGTCAGTGGGAAGAATGTCCCTTACATTGGGGGTCAGTGGGAAGAATGTCCCTTACATTGGGGGTCAGTGGGAAGAATGTCCCTTACATTGGGGGTCAGTGGGAAATGAAGAATGTCCCTTACATTGGTGGGTCAGTGGAAGAAGAATGTCCCTTACATTGGGGGGTGGGAAGGATCAGTGGGAAGAATGTCCCTTACATTGGGGGTCAGTGGGAAGAATGTCCCTTACATTGGAGGTCAGTGGGAAGAATGTCCCTTACATTGGTGGTCAGTGGGGGAAGAATGTCCCTTACATTGGGGTCAGTGGGAAGAATGTCCCTTACATTGGGGGTCAGTGGGAAGAATGTCCCTTACATTGGAGGTCAGTGGGAAGAATGTCCCTTACATTGGGGGGTCAGTGGGAAGAATGTCCCCTTACATTGGGGGTCAGTGGGAAGAATGCCCCTTACATTGGGGTCAGTGGGAAGAATGTCCCTTACATTGGGGGTCAGTGGGAAGAATGTCCCTTACATTGGGGGTCAGTGGGAAGAATGTCCCTTACATTGGGGGGTCAGTGGGAAGAATGTCCCTTACATTGGGGGTCAGTGGGAAGAATGTCCCTTACATTGGGGGTCAGTGGGAAGAATGTCCCTTACATTGGGGGTCAGTGGGAAGAATGTCCCTTACATTGGGGGTCAGTGGGAAGAATGTCCCTTACATTGGTGGTCAGTGGGAAGAATGTCCCTTACATTGGGGGGGTCAGTGGGAAGAATGTCCCTTACATTGGTGGTCAGTGGGAAGAATGTCCCTTACATTGGGGGTCAGTGGGAAGAAGAATGTCCCTTACATTGGTGGTCAGTGGGAAGAATGTCCCTTACATTGGGGGTCAGTGGGAAGAATGTCCCTTACATTGGGGGTCAGTGGGAAGAATGTCCCTTACATTGGGGGTCAGTGGGAAGAATGTCCCTTACATTGGGGGTCAGTGGGAAGAATGTCCCTTACATTGGGGGTCAGTGGGAAGAATGTCCTTACATTGGGGGTCAGTGGGAAGAATGTCCCTTACATTGGGGGTCAGTGGGAAGAATGTCCCTTACATTGGGGGTCAGTGGGAAGAATGTCCCTTACATTGGTGGTCAGTGGGAAGAATGTCCCTTACATTGGTGGTCAGTGGGAAGAATGTCCCTTACATTGGGGGTCAGTGGGAAGAATGTCCCTTACATTGGGGGTCAGTGGGAAGAATGTCCCTTACATTGGGGGTCAGTGGGAAGAATGTCCCTTACATTGGGGTCAGTGGGAAGAATGTCCCTTACATTGGTGGTCAGTGGGAAGAATGTCCCTTACATTGGGGTCAGTGGGAAGAATGTCCCTTACATTGGGGGTCAGTGGGAAGAATGTCCCTTACATTGGTGGTCAGTGGGAAGAATGTCCCTTACATTGGGGTCAGTGGGAAGAAATGTCCCTTACATTGGGGGTCAGTGGGAAGAATGTCCCTTACATTGGGGGTCAGTGGGAAGAATGTCCCTTACATTGGGGGTCAGTGGGAAGAATGTCCCTTACATTGGGGGTCAGTGGGAAGAATGTCCCTTACATTGGGGTCAGTGGGAAGAATGTCCCTTACATTGGGATCAGTGGGAAAGAATGTCCCTTACATTGATGGGGTCAGTGGGAAGAATGTCCCTTACATTGGGGGTCAGTGGGAAGAATGTCCCTTAAATTGGGGGTCAGTGGGAAGAATGTCCCTTACATTGGGGTCAGTGGGAAGAATGTCCCTTACATTGGTGATCAGTGGGAAGAATGTCCCTTACATTGGTGGTCAGTGGGAAGAATGTCCCTTACATTGGGGGATCAGTGGGGAAGAATGTCCCTTACATTGGTGGTCAGTGGGAAGAATGTCCCTTACATTGGGGGTCAGTGGGAAGAATGTCCCTTACATTGGTGGTCAGTGGGAAGAATGTCCCTTACATTGGGGGTCAGTGGGAAGAATGTCCTTACATTGGGGGTCAGTGGGAAGAATGTCCCTTACATTGGGGGTCAGTGGGAAGAATGTCCCTTACATTGGGGGTCAGTGGGAAGAATGTCCCTTACATTGGGGGTCAGTGGGAAGAATGTCCCTTACATTGGGGGTCAGTGGGAAGAATGTCCCTTACATTGGGGGTCAGTGGGAAGAATGTCCCTTACATTGGGGGTCAGTGGTTACTTTTCTGAGATTGGGACAGTGCTCACTGCTCTAACAACCTGTGGAGGAAGCTTTGGATTCCACGGAACCCTCACTGAGAACGGCTGCTTTAAAGAGTCATGAGGTCCCCCCCCCCCCCCCCCCCCCCCCGCGAGGATATGATCTCTGGATTGGGTGGAGGTCAGTAGCTCTAGAAGTCTCACTTACCTCCTGTGGCTGGAGATCTGCTGTAAAATCCAACCCACCTCAGTTGGCTCCCAGCATAGTCCTTCCTCCTGAGGAGCGGGTTGTAGCATCTTGGAGTCAGGTGGTCATCTCACACCTCTACCTACTTCAACACATGTTCCCGGGATGGAGACGAATCTGAGATCGAGTCGAATTTTACAGCAGAAGATCTCCTGAATAGCCGCCATAGAAGTAAATGTAACTTGGAGCTTTCCACTGAACTCCCCCCAGGGCCAGAGGTTGGATCTTCATGGGGTCCTCTGTTGAATTCCCCTGTCTGGATAGAATTGTGGGTGGTCTCACTTGCGCAGAGGGTTGACAATCTCCTCCCTCAGGGTCCTCTGGATCTCTCTGTCTGGGTGGGACGCCGGTTTGAAGAGTAGAGCGTCCAACGATGAGCTACAGGAAAAGAGGCTGCAGGAGGAGACAGAGGAGGAGAGAACCATTACAATGGAAATGGAAACGTATTTTGGGAGATTTGGATAGAGAGGGTTACAACTGTCATGTTTATGTGTCTAACTCCTCCCATCGGCCTCCCCTTCAGCCTTGCACAGGTGTACCGGCCCCTCCCCTTCAGCCTTGCACAGGTGTGCCGGCTCCTCCCCTTCAGCCTTGCACAGGTGTACCGGCCCCTCCCCTTCAGTCTTTCACAGGTGTACTGGCCCCTCCCCTTCAGTCTTTCACAGGTGTACTGGCTCCTCCCCTTCAGTCTTGTACAGGTGTACCGGCTCCTCTCCTCCAGTCTTGCACAGGTGTACTGGCTCCTCCCCTTCAGTCTTGCACAGGTGTACTGGCTCCTCCCCTTCAGTCTTGCAGTGTACTTGCAGTCTTGCACAGGTGTACTGGCGGCTCCCCTCCCTTGCACAGGTTCCTCCCCTAGTCTTGCACAGGTGTACCGGCTCTGCCTCCTCCCCTCCAGTCTTGCACAGTTGTACCTCTGATGTCACTGCACACTGGGAGCTTCTCACAATGTGCATTAGAAACTGCAGCCAGTCAGATAGAGCTCCGCCTCATTTCCTGGCTGGAGGATGTCCAGCATCATCTAGTTTTTTCCTCCATGCCCCACCCCTTCAATGAATTCAGTTCTTCCAATCATGGAGGCTCAGAATTCAAAGTATTGTTACCTATGGTGGTCTACATGCAAATACAGCCTGCCTAAGAACACCCACCTTTCCAGACTGACCTTCACCCAGCAAGGCAATCTGATTTTTGGCACAACCCCTCCCACGGCTTACATCAAGACTGAGGACTCTTGAGAGGAGTACTGAAGCAGGGTGCTGTGATGCTTTCAGGAAGCTGTACAGCATCCGGCCAGCCCCTCCTACCAGCCATGATCTGCCTGCATTGCATAGAGAAGCACAGAGACCCAGTATTTGAAGAAAAAAAAATCCTTTACAGTGTTGGGGAAGTGGACAGGGGAAGCATCACTTAGGATTAAACTTTAGCTTTAGGCTTGATGGAACAGTAAAGTAGAGGTGGGGAAACCCTAAGAAGAAACCTGTCCTGGCAAGAATTCTCAAACATTTTTTTATTTCACTTCCAGCTGATTTCTCTTTTACTTCCTGTCTGGGGTCTGGGCAATAAAGTCTGACAAAGGCTCCAACCCTTCCCGGCTCTTCACATTCACATTGGATTTGAATACAACACAAGTTCGCCACACTCTCTACTTTAAAGCAAACCCAAAGAAAAGTAAAGGATCTAAAAATTAAAAAAAAAAAAAAAAATGGTCACAAGTTACGGCCCAGCCCTTCAGGAGCCCCTGACATACCAAGACCCACCCACTAGATACCCGTGAAGGGGAGCATCCATTGGATTTGAATACAACAAAATCTTACCTACATGAAAGCAAACCCAAAGAAACGTAAAAGAGCCAAAAACTCTCAAAGAAATAATAAAACGGTTACAAGTTACAGCCCAGCCCCCGAGGAGCCCTTGACATAACAAGACCTAACAAGACCCTCCCACTAGATACCTGAAAAGGGCAGCATCCATGTAGCAGGAGTTACAGTGGCCTTGTATCCCTTTCATATCACCCTGTAAAATATCCACAGCAGAACATCCCTGCAGCGGGGGGACCTTCCCAGGGATCCTGTAACCTTCTTTATCTGAAAAAAAGCAAAAAAAAAAAAAAAAGACTTTTTATGCATTTAATATAGTCATTCATGCTATTAAAAAAAAAAAATCACCACCCGAAAATCCCGAGCAGTTGGCAGTAAGTATGCGCTCTACGGGAACATGACCAGTATGGATTTATTGATTCTGTGAGCTGAAAATGTGAAGGTGATGCATCAGTTCCCAACACATCTGAAATGATATTATGTATCGGAATATCAGAATAGATATTAAGGAAACAAAACGCATAATATTGTATCTTTTTTTTTTTTGAAACGCGTAAAAGTAATCATCTTCATGTAACTATTCTTATCAGAGTGAGGTAATGTTTGATACCCTTCCTTACTGATAGTTCATAATTGTGTAGATGGGGACAGACATACACTATATTGCCCCAAGTATTGGGCCGCCGGCCTTTCCCCACACATGACCTTTAATGGCCCCCCTAGTCTTAGTCCGTAGGGATCAATATTGAGTTGGCCCCGCCCTTTCCACACACACATGACCTTTAATGGCCTCCCAGTCTTAGTCCGTAGGGTTCAATATTGAGTTGGCCCCGCCCTTTCCCACACACATGACCTTTAATGGCCCCCCAGTCTTAGTCCGTAGGGTTCAATATTGAGTTGGCCCCGCCCTTTCCACACACATGACCTTTAATGGCCCCCAGTCTTAGTCCGTAGGGTTCAATATTGAGTTGGCCCCGCCCTTTTCCGCACATGACCTTTAATGCCCCCCCAGTCTTAGTCCGTAGGGTTCAATATTGAGTTGGCCCCGCCCTTTCCACACACATGACCTTTAATGGCCTCCCAGTCTTAGTCCGTAGGGTTCAATATTGAGTTGGCCCCGCCCTTTCCACACACATGACCTTTAATGGCCCCCTAGTCTTAGTCCGTAGGGTTCAATATTGAGTTGGCCCCGCCCTTTCCACACACATGACCTTTAATGGCCTCCCAGTCTTAGTCCGTAGGGTTTCAATATTGAGTTGGCCCCGCCCTTTCCACACACATGACCTTTAATGGCCCCCTAGTCTTAGTCCGTAGGGTTCAATATTGAGTTGGCCCCGCCCTTTCCCACACACACGACCTTTAATGGCCTCCCAGTCTTAGTCCGTAGGATTCAATATTGAGTTGGCCCCGCCCTTTCCATGCACATGACCTTTAATGGCCCCCCAGTCTTAGTCCGTAGGATTCAATATTGAGTTGGCCCCGCCCTTTCCACGCACATGACCTTTAATGGCCCCCCAGTCTTAGTCCGTAGGGTTCAATATTGAGTTGGCCACCCTTCCCACGCACATCACCTTTAATGGCCCCCCAGTCTTAGTCCGTAGGATTCAATATTGAGTTGGCCCCGCCCTTTCCACGCACATGACCTTTAATGGCCTCCCAGTCTTAGTCCGTAGGGTTCAATATTGAGTTGGCCCCGCCCTTTGCAGCTATAACAGCTTCAACTCTTCTGGGAAGGCCGTCCACAAGGTTTAGGAGGGTGTCTATGGGAAGGTTGGACCATTCTTCCAGAAGCACATTTGTCAGGTCAGGCACTGATGTCGGGGGAGGAGGCCTGGCTTACAGTCTCCACTCTAATTCATCCCAAAGGTGTTCTATGGGGTTGAGGTCAGGACTCTGTGCAGGACAGTCAAGTTCCTCCACCCCAAACTGGCTCCTCCATGTCTTTATGGACCTTGCTTTGTGTACTGGTGTGCAGTCATGTTGGAACAGGAAGGGGCCATCCCCAAACTCTTCCTACAAAGTTGGGAGCATGAAATTGTCCAAAATGTTGCCTAAAGAGTTCCCTTCACTGGAACTAGGGGGCCAAGCCCAACCCCTGAAAAACAACCCCACACCATAATCCCCCCTCCACCAAACTTTACACTTGGCACAATGCAGTCAGGCAAGTACCGTTCTCCTGGCAACTGCCAAACCTGGACACGTCCATCAGATGGATGGGCAGAGAAGCGTGATTGGTCACTCCAGAGAAACATCTCCATGCTCTAGAGTCCAGTGGCGGCGTGCTTTACACCACGGCATCCAGCGCTTTGCATTGCACTTGGTGATGGAAGGCTTGGATGCAGCTGCTCGGCCATGGAAACCCATTCCATGAAGCTGTCTACGCACTGTTGTTGGGCTCATCTGAAGGCCACACCAAGTTTGGAGGTCTTTAGCTATTGACTCTGCAGACAGTTGGTGACTTCTGCGCACTGTGCGCTTCAGCATGCGCTGACCCCGCTCTGTCATGTGACATGGCCTATCACTTGGTGGCTGAGTGGCTGTTGTTCCCAGTTGCTTCCACTTTGTTATAATCCCATTAACAGTTGAGCGTGGAATATTTAGTAGCCAGGAAATGTCACGGATGGACTTATTGCCCAGGTGGCCACCTATCACGGGACCACGCTTGGAGTCACTGAGCTCCTGAGAGCGACCCATTCTTTCACCAATGTTTGTAGAAGCCGTCTGCATGCCTAGGGGCTGGATTGTATACACCTGTGTCCATGGAGGGGATTGGAACACCTGAGTCACATGATATGGAGGGGATTGGAACACCTGAATCACATGATTGGGAGGGAATTGGAACACCTGAATCACATGGTATGGAGGGGGGGATTGGAACACACCTGAATCACATGATTGGGAGGGGATTGGAACACCTGAATCACATGGTATGGAGGGGATTGGAACACCTGAATGACATGATTGGGAGGGGATTGGAACACCTGAATCACATGATATGGAGGGAATTGGAACACCTGAATCACATGGTATGGAGGGGGATTGGAACACCTGAATCACATGATTGGGAGGGGATTGGAACTCCTGATAGGAACACTTGAATCACATGATTGGGAGGGGATTGGAACTCCTGAATCACGATTGGGAGGGGATTGGAACACCTGAATCACATGATTGGGAGGGGATTGGAACTCTTTGAATCACATGATTGGGAGGGGATTGGAACACCTGAATCACATGATATGGAGGGGATTGGAACACCTGAATCACATGATTGGGAGGGGATTGGAACACCTGAATCACATGATTGGGAGGGGATTGGAACTCCTGAATCACATGATTGGGAGGGGATTGGAACTCCTGAATCACATGATATGGAGGGGATTGGAACTCCTGAATCACATGATTGGGAGGGGATTGGAACACCTGAGTCACATGATATGGAGGGGATTGGAACTCCTGAATCACATGATTAGGAGGGGATTGGAACACCTGAATCACTTAATATGAAGGGGATTGGAGCACCTGAATCACATGATTGGGAGGGCGGGTCCAATACTTTTGGCAATATAATGTATACGGAATGCTTGGTACAGGATCCTGAATCTACTAAATATTGCCTCTATATATTTTACTGCCTGCAACCGATGTCCTGCAATGCTGAAATCCTTAGGCCTTGTTTACAACAGTGGTGGCTATGAAAGGGGAGGGGGGTGGTAAAAATAGGCAGTTGAGCCCCGACCACCAAGCTACTGATTAAAATTGCCACCGGCCATGTTAGTACACACGGTCTGATGGCCAAGGTGTTAGGGTGCACAGTGGCACAAATTTGGTCACACATGCAAGTGAATGGATCAGCATGCATGGGGCTTATTCAACTAAATAGGGCTGCCAATTTACGGCATGCTGCTATGGGCTTTCAAGGGTTAAAAGCGGCATCCACTAGGTAATATATTGCCTCCAAGCTGCCGGCCAAATGCCTCTGAAAAACCATTCCCATGGATCCATTTTTACAGGGGCAGCAATGGTGGCCACAAGTGTAAATGAGCGTTTAGTATAGGTCAGTACTCATCTCTTCCTCTCCATCATCAGAAGTGGAAAGGTTCCCGGGCCCCCATAGGAGCTGCCATTATTTTAAGTTATGTGTTCACATTACACATGAAGATTGTGTAGCGACAATCTTGGTAAAGTATTTTCTTCCACTGGTGTTTCATTTTTTTTTGGCCCCGCCTCCGAGGAGATCAGGAGTAACTCACTATGCGCCTCAACCTCCAGGCTCTTTGGTTCACAGTCTTTACTAGACAGAAAGCGGGTGTCTGGCTGACATGCTTTCAACTTGACAAAAATTCCTCGTTTTGGGCCACAAAAGAAATACCGGCGCCCCTGCCAGCTGCCGTCGGTGCAACCTTTATCTTCTTCCTGTAAAGTCAAGAACAGACATAAGTGATTGGAGAACAGCCTACCATACCTGAAGGTTCAATTATCATCGCTCTGGTTCTGAGCGATCGCATGCCATCACACAAGTGTCTCTCTCTGTATTGGTTCTGGAGTTTCATGGGCACGAGTTAGTCTGATCTCCTCAGGGGCGGGGCCAAATATGAAACAGCAGTGAAAGAAATCACGAAGATTATTGTCACAACTCACTCTTCATACATAATATGGTTACATTATAACTTAAAAAAAAAAAAAAAAAAAAAAATCACAGTTCCTATGGGGCGCGAGGAACCATTCCTTTGAGAAAGTCCTATCAGGACTATTAGTTTCCACTACATTGGCTCTAAAAAAAAAAAAAAAGAAAAAAAAGAGGATCACCTCTAATTTAGTTTTTGCAAACGGTAAGCCCTGGTACACTAGGGCGACATGAAAGTCGAGCAACTTTGCTGTACAACTTCCCAGGGACCAGGTGCTACTTTCAAGCAACTTTACTGATGTGACTTTGGTGGATCAGTGGGGATTTTTTTTTTTTACCCTCGCCTCTCCTCCCTGGTCAGCCTTGCTGCCTAGAAACTCCCCCCCAAGCACATTCCATTCACACCTCAGCACAGCGGAAACGTGTTTTCCCGTTTGTTTTGCTTGAGCATTTTTTGCACAATTTTCAAGCGTAAACGTGCCTCATACATAAGGCAGCCCATTTACATGAATGGGCTGCCCTACGCACGACAACGTAGCTAGAGCATTTTCAGTCGCGAAGCGTCACGTTTTTTTCATTGCGTGTTTTTGAACGTTTGTATCTCGTTTTGTGACATGGCAATACACAAGTCTGCTAACCGTGATTGGGGTGTCATGAACAATCAGGGTGCATTTACATGTATGTACGAATGTATTCACAACATCAATTCTCCTGCGCTTGGGTCCAGAGGAGACAACTGGCTACAATCGCATCCTCATTGGCTTGGATAGAACATGCCTTCTCATATGGAAGAAAAAATATTTTTGAAATACAATTATGGCCATACTCAATATATATATATATATATATATATATATATATATATATATATATACACACATATATATATATTTTTTTTTTTTTTTTGCATGTTGAAATGCGTTTTTATTACAAAATAAATGAAAAAAAAATTGTAAAAATTAATTTTCAAATATACTGTATGTCTTTAAAAATACAAAATCTACATTTTTGGAATGCATTTACAAATATATGTTAAAATTACTTTTTTATATGTTAAAAAAAAAAATCTGAAAACTATATTTAAAAAAAATATTTTTTAAAAATATTTTTCAGATATTTTGTGATATATAAAAAAAACGCATTTCATCATGCAGTGTATATATATATATATACATACATACATACACACACACGCACACACACACATACATACAGACACAGCATGTTGAAATGTGTTTTTATATATTACAAAATATATGAAATTTTTTTTTTTTTTATTTTATTTTAAATATATTCTTCAGATTTTTTTTAACATATAAAGAAGTACTTTTAACATACATTTTTACATATGTTCGTAAATGCATTCCAAAAATGTAGATTTATATTTTTTTTAAGATATACAGTATATTTAAAAATGTATTTTTAAAACTATTTTTCAGTTATTCTGTAATAAAAACGCATTTTAACATTTTATATTTTTATATATATATATATATATATATATATATATATATATATATAAATATAAATATATATATTAAATATGGCCAAAATTGGAGTATTTCAAACATATTTTTCTTCCATGTGGGTTCCATTATGTGCACAATGATTATGCAACTAAATGAAAAACAAAAATATTCCCATCTCACTTGTTTATTTTCATCTGTTAAAGTGAGAATAACCCACATGGAATAAAAATATACTTGAAATGCATTTTAAAAATATTCTTCCCAAATATATGGACATATATTAGAAATATCACAATTTTGGCCATATATTTTTTTTTTACCATAAAAAAAGTCATTTTGACATATATTTTTACATATATTTGTAAATGCATTCCAAAAATGTAGATTTGTATTTTTAAAGACATACAGTATATTTGAAAATTTATTTCATATATTTTGTAATAAAAACGCATTTCAATCTATATATAATTATTGAAATATATTGAATATGGCCAAAATTGTAGCATTTCAAATATATGTCAATATATTTCAGAGGAATATTTTTAAAATATACTTCAAATATATTTTTCTTCCATGTGGGTTACTGCCCTCATAAGTCTGGGAGAATCTAGGAACACTGAAACCATAAAACAAGACAGAGGGCGCCCCGGCCTAGTGCATTATCCTTAAAAAAAAATTTTTGATATTAAAAAGTGGTAAGTATTATACTCACAAGACACCTCATCGTAAAAAAACAGCTCAGTGCGGTCCACGATTCATCACGTCACCCGACAGGGCAGAGAGGACCTCCAACAGGCTAACGCATTTCGAGGACTAGGTTGGCTCTGAGGAAGGGGCTAGTCCTCGAAACGCGTTAACCTGTTGGATCCAGGGAATATCCGATTGCCTCTCGGGGGATCAGGAAGGAATTTTTTCCCCTGCAGGAGCAAATTGGATCGTGCTTTGCTGGGTTTTTTTGCCTTCCTCTGGATCAACTGTGGGTGGAGGATTATATATAGATTTTTTTCTATGGTTGAACTGGATGGACATTTGTCTTTTTTCAGCCAGACTAACTATGTATCTATCACTTTTTAATAATAAATACCGTATTTTTCGCCGTATAAGACGCACCTGACCATAAGACGCACCTAGGTTTTAGAGGTAGAAAACAGGAAAAAAAAAAATTCTGAGCTAATGGACTGCAGACACAGTACAGGAGATGACCAGAGACTGCGGACACAGTACAGGGGATGACCAGAGACTGCGGACAGCACAGGGATGACCAGAGACTGCGGACAGTACAGGAGATGACCAGAGACTGCGGACAGCACAGGGATGACCAGAGACTGCGGACAGTACAGGAGATGACCAGAGACTGCGGACAGCACAGGGATGACCAGAGACTGCGGACAGCACAGGGATGACCAGAGACTGCGGACAGCACAGGGATAACCAGAGACTGCGGACAGCACAGGGATGACCAGAGACTGCGGACAGCACAGGGATGACCAGAGACTGCGGACAGCACAGGGATGACCAGAGACTGCGGACAGCACAGGGATGACCAGAGACTGCGGACAGCACAGGGATGACCAGAGACTGCGGACAGCACAGGGATGACCAGAGACTGCGGACAGCACAGGGATGACCAGAGACTGCGGACAGCACAGGGATGACCAGAGACTGCGGACAGCACAGGGATGACCAGAGACTGCGGACAGCACAGGGATGACCAGAGACTGCGGACAGCACAGGGATGACCAGAGACTGCGGACAGCACAGGGATGACCAGAGACTGCGGACAGCACAGGGATGACCAGAGACTGCGGACAGCACAGGGATGACCAGAGACTGCGGACAGCACAGGGATGACCAGAGACTGCGGACAGCACAGGGATGACCAGAGACTGCGGACAGCACAGGGATGACCAGAGACTGCGGACAGCACAGGGATGACCAGAGACTGCGGACAGCACAGGGATGACGAGAGACTGCGGATAGCACAGGGATGACCAGAAACTGCAGACAGTACAGATGACTGCTGACCTTTGGGGAGGTGGGGAGGTGGGGAGCGGGTACCTGAATTTGACAGGTACCCGCTCTTACTTCCGCAGAGTTTTTGTTTGATCTTACCTGTTCCTCAATCCAGCCGCGCGCTGTCTTCCCGGCTTCTGTAATGGCGCTCGGCATGACAGCCGGGTGCCCAGTGCGCATGAGCAAGAAGCGCTGCGCTTTGTGATTGGTCCGGCGGCTTCTGGGATCTGTCATGTGTCCCAGGTATCGCCTTACCATTCACAAAAAGCACCGCTTCTTGCGCGCATGCGCACTTGGCACCCGGCTGTCATGCCCAGTGCCTACACTACAGAAGCCGGGGAGACAGCGCGCCGCTGGATAGAGGAACAGGTAAGGTCCCGCTGAAGAGCTGAGTGGCCGGCCCGGTATTCTGACACGGCCGCGGTGGAAATACCGGACCGGCCGCTCCACATTCGCCTTATAAGACGCACTGACATTTCCCCCCCAGTTTTGGGGAAGAAAAAGTGCGTCTTATACGGCGAAAAATACGGTACATGTTTCCAGGATAACAGACTAGGCCGGGGCGCCCTCTGTCTTGTTTTATGGTTTCTATGTTTCCGAATGCGTGGCAACCCACAACAGAAAATGCGCATTTCAGAAACAAGCTGCAAAGGTGAATCGCGCTTGCGTCGCCATAATACCAAAGCAAGAGAGATATGCATTTTCAAAACGTGCAGCAAAGCGCGTTTTCTGCACGGGTTATCGTGAATTAGGAAACGCGCAGATGTGAGGGCAGTCTGCAGGGTAACGTAAGCACAACAAAGGGAATTTTTAAAACACACGGAACAGCGTGCGTCTTCTTGCCGGTTGCCATGCAGATGGGCAGCACAGTGGTTAGCACTTCCGCCTGGCAGCACTCGGGTCGTTGGTTAGACCACCTGCCTGGAGTTTGCATGTTCTTCCTGGGCCAGCGTGGGTTTCCTCCGGGTACTCCAGTTTCCTCCCACACTCCAAAGACATGCTAGGAAGTTAATTGGCTCCTGTATTTATTGGCCCTAATATGTGTATGTATGAATATGAGTTAGGGACCTTAGATTGTATGCTCCTCGGGGGCGGGGACTGATGTGAATGTACAATATATATGTAAAGCGCTGCGTAAATTGACGGCGCTATATAAGTCCCTGAAATAAATAAATAACTATGAATACAGGCTAATTGTTAAAGACACCCCAATCGCAGTTTTGCTGCCAAAATGTGCGACGCTCCATGACCAAAAAGGTTCCTGAGCTACTTTGGGACATTTATCGCACCCTCTACGCCAGTGGTTCTCAACCTTCCTAATGCCGTGACCCCTTAATACAGTTCCTCATGTTGTGGTGACCCCCAACCATGAAATTATTTACCCAGTAATTATAATTCATGAAGTGTCGTTTTACCTCCAATACTGCTGCTTTCTACACAGTAGCTGCTTTCTACACAGTAGCTGCTCTTTACACATTGGAAATATGTGTTGTCCATGGTCTTAGGCGACCCCTGTGAAAGGGTCGTTCGACCCCCAAAGGGGTCGCGACCCACAGGTTGAGAACCACTGCTCTACGCGATGTGAAGAACACACCAAAAAAAAAAAAAAAAAAGAAAAAAATCTGAGCAGGAACGTGCATTTCCACTACACTCAGATGTGAATGGGATGTGCTAGGCAGGAAGTTTTTAGGTAGTAAGGATGACCAGGGAGGAGCGGTGACTGCCAAAGTTGCTGCAATTAAGACAAAGGTACGACTTGCTGGTGATTTTACATTGAAGTCTATGGGAGCTGCATAGTAAAAGTAGGAAAAAAAAAAGTAATTTTTGTTGTTGCGACTCAAGACGTAGCAATTAAAGACAGTACCCACTAAAATTCTACAAGCTTTCATCTGATCTGCGACTTTACATGTCCCAAGTCGCTGGAAAAAAAAAATCACACTGGTACAGGGGCGGACTGGCAACTCATGGGGCCCCCGGGCAATAGGGGATCATGGGGCCCATGTGTCCTCACCCACACTCAAACCACACCCAAAAAAGCCTATAGGGCCCTCAAACCCCTCATGTATTGTATTGTTACTGTATTGTCTCATGTTCTGTCCCCCTTGCTATTGTACAGCGCTGAGCAAACCTTTTGGCGCTATATAAATACTGTATAATAATAATAAAAAGGTACCAGGGGCATCTCATGGGGCCCCCTACTGACCCCGGGCCCTCGGGCAGTGCCCAAGTGCTGGAATGGTCAGTCCGCCCCTGCACTGGTGTAAACCAGGACTAAATATTCTTTATTAAAAAGTAAAATTCAAAAGTCAACAAGTAACTTACTAGCTCCACCCCGACCATGGCGTCCTCCATTTGTGGCAGATACCCCAACCATCGGATGATCCCATAGGCCATCTCTCCTTCCTGATACTGAATCTGTACTAGGGAATCCACTTCCAGGTTTCTTCCCAAAAGCTCTTCTTTCTGTTTGCCGTCATTGGGGCTCTTCTGTTCCCGACACATGGCCGCACCATCTTCATGGAGAAGAGAGGAGACAACGTATGGGAGAAGCCTACAACAACACTAGGCACAAGGTCTACATGGTTCTTGAAGGTGGAGCTGTGAGCAGGGCCGGGACAAAGGGGGTGGGCAAGAGGGGCGGCTGCCCCGCGGGCCAATGGTTTACTGTAGGGATGGGGCAGGGTCAGACTGACAACTCATGGGGCCCCCGGGCAATAGGGGATCATGGGACCCCTGTGTCCTCACCCACACTTCATGGAGAAGAGAGGAGACAACGTATGGGAGAAGCCTACAACAACACTATGAACAAGGCCTACATGGTTCTTGAAGGTGGAGCTGTGACCAGGGCTGGGACAAAGGGGGTGGGCTGGAGGGGCAGCTGCCCCGTGGGCCGATGGCTTACTGTAGGGATGGGGCAGGATCGGACTGACAGCGCATGGGGTCCTCGGGCAATAGGGGATCATAGGACCCCTGTGTCCTCACCCACACTCAAAAAAGCCTATGAAAGGTACTAGGGACATCTCATGGGGCCCCCTACTGACCCTCGGCCTTCGGGCAGTGCCAGAGCTCCCAAATGGTCAGTCCACCCCTTGGATGGGGCACCTTCCTTCTGTTACAAGGCTGAAAGAGTAGTAACGGTGGCATCACAACACCTGTCAGCCCAGCGCTGGGAGTGGTGAGGAGAGATCCGGGAGGTGGTCCGGGCTGTGTTCTCCCCCCTTCTCCTTCCTGCCTCTTGTGGTGGGACTGCATTGGCAAACCTGCGCACTTCCGGCCCAATGTAAACCCTGACTGACAGATCAGGAGCCGTGCAGTGACGTCTGGGTATAGGATCCCCTGAGCTTGCACATCATGAAGGAGGGGAAGAGGTGCATTTTGGCACCTTTGCCCTGGGCAATGGATGACCATATCCTGGCACTGGCTGTGTTCTCTTCCCCCCCCCCCCCCCAATTCCTGCCTCTTGTGGTGGGACTGCGTTGGCAAACCTGCACACTTCCAGGTTGATGTGAACCCTGACTGACAGATCAGGAGCCGCACAGTGATGTCTGGGTGTAGGATCCCCTGACCTTGCACATGAAGGAAGGAAGGGGGAGGGGTGCATTTTGGCACCTTTGCCCTGGGCACTGGATGACCATATCCCGGCACTGGCTGTGAGAATGGGACAACTTCATTTTAGGAATGAGCAGAAGTGGACAAATTAAGATGGTTTTTGGGGTTTTTTAGGGACTGTAAATGGCTCCTGAGGATGACAGAAGCCCCTTTCATGTTCTTTGGCGCATTTGTTGCGCATAGCGCAGCCAATTGAGAGGATGGGCCGGCCTATGCATGCAGCGCAAAAAAGTGTACACTCCTAACCCTTAAGCTGGACCTACACTGATCGACATCGGCCCCTGATGAACCAGCAGAATTTTGTTCAGTGTGAGGCCGTTCTAGCTCTACAGAAATCAATCATTTGAACGACTTCCATCGAATGGACATGTGTGAAGATCTGTGTATTCTGACAGCTGTGTGCACCACTTTCAGAAATGTCCCACCAGGGGAAGGGATTCCTCCTTCTCATTTGTTAGCCGAAAGCCAACCCTTTGTTTATAAACAGAGTCATGTGAGCGCTGACATGGGAATAACATGGCTTTGTTACTAAACAAATCATGCCAGTGAATCGCCCATTCATCCCTACTACATTTTAGCTGAGATTTTCTTGACGATGGTGGCAGCAATGTCCGCAGTGATTGGCTGTACAAAGGAGTCCTGATGGAAACTGACATTGATTTTCCATAAACGTCAATGTCCTGCAGCCTCCCCCATCACTTTTCAGGGTATGGAGTCACAATGTATCAGTGTGCTCTATGATTATGTTACCGGTACATTGTATCAGTGTGCAGCCTCCCTCATCTCTATGATTATGTTACATTGTATCAGTGTGCAGCCTCCCCATCTCTATGATTATGTTACATTGTATCAGTGCGCAGCCTCCACCATCTCTATGATTGTGTTACATTGTATCAGTTCGCAGCCTCCACCATCTCTATGTGTTACATTGTATCAGTGTGCAGCCTCTCCCTTCTCTATGATTGTGTTACATTGTATTAGTGTGCAGCCTCCCCCACCTCTATGTTTGTGTTACATTGTGTCAGTGTGCAGCCCCCCCATCTCTATGATTGTGTTACATTGTATCAGTGTGCAGCCTCCACCATCTCCATTTGTTACATTGTATTAGTGTGCAGCCTCCCCCATCTCTATGTGTTACATTGTATCAGTGTGCAGCCTCTCCCTTCTCTATGATTATGTTACATTGTATCAGTGTGCAGCCCCCATCTCTATGATTGTGTTACATTGTATCAGTGTGCAGCCTCCCCCATCTCTATGAATGTGTTACATTGTATCAGTGCACAGCCTCCCCCATCTCTATGATTGTGTTACATTGTATCAGTGTGCAGCCTCCCCCATCTCTATGATTGTGTTACATTGTATCAGTGTGCACAGCCTCTCCCCATCTCTATGATTGTGTTACATTGTATCAGTGTGCAGCCCCCCATCTCTATGATTCTGTTACATTGTATCAGTGTGCAGCCTCCACCATCTCCATTTGTTACATTGTATCAGTTCACAGCCTCCCCCATCTCTATGATTGTGTTACATTGTATCAGTGTGCACCCCCCCATCTCTATGTTTGTGTTACATTGTATCAGTGTGCAGCCCCCCCATCTCTATGATTGTGTTACATTGTATCATGTCCCCTATCTCTATATTTGTGTTACACAGCCTCCCCCATCTCTATATTTGTGTTACATTGTATCAGTGCCACATCCCTCTATACATTTTGTGTCAGTATCAGTGCAGCAGCCCCCCATCTCTATGTTTGTGTTACATTGTATCAGTGTGCAGCCCCCCCATCTCTATGTTTGTGTTACATTGTATCAGTGTGCAGCCTCCCCCTCTATCTCTATCTCTATGATTGTGTTACATTGTATCAGTGCGCAGCCTCCCCTATCTCTATATTTGTGTTACATTGTATCAGTGCGCAGCCTCCCCTATCTCTATATTTGTGTTACATTGTATCAGTATCAGCAGCAAGGATAGAAAGGTGATCCCAGAGGGAGCAGTAATGTGGAATCCTGTGAGCTCTACCTGGGGTAATGTCTTCCTTCACAATGGCATCCAGGGGAATCTTCATCAGCGTACTGGAGGAGCTGTCCTCCTGCCACACAAACAGACAGATGTATTATGATCTGACACACATCCCGATGTAGGGGGTGCAGCCCCGCCCATTGTCACCCCCATAGTACAGATGAAGCAACTTTGGTAGACATATCAGTGTCAGAGCGACACGTTACATGTATGGAGGAAACTCACCAGTAGGCTGACACGCCAAGCGGCTTCTTACATCTCCTAGACATGATTGCTGAGATTCCTCATTGAGATTTGTCTCTCTGCCCCTCCCACAATGACATTTCTCTGCAGTATTCAATGTCTCCACCCCTTCCACAATGACATTTCCCTGCAGTATTCAGTGTCTCCACCCCTCCTACAATGGTGAGATATCCTGCAGTATTCAGTGTCTCCACCCCTCCTACAATGGTGAGATATCCTGCAGTATTCAGTGTCTGCACCCCTCCCACAATGGTGAGATTTCCTGCAGCACTTTGTGTCTCCGTCCCTCCCACAATGATATTTCCCTGCAGTATTGTGTCTCCACCCCTCCCACGACATTTCCCTGCAGTATTCAGTGTCTCCGCCTCTTCCACAATGACACTTCCCTGCAGCATTCAGTGTCTCCGCCCCTTCCACAATGACACTTCCCTGCAGTATTCAGTGTCTCCGCCCCTTCCACAATGACACTTCCCTGCAGTATTCAGTGTCTCCGCCCCTCACAAAATGACATTTCTCTGCAGTATTCAGTGTCTCCGCCCCACCCACAATGACATTTCCCAGATGTATTCTGTGTCTCTGCCCCCCCACAATGACATTTCCTTGCAGTATTCAGTGTCTCCTCCCCTCCCACAATTACATTTCTCTGCAGTATTCAGTGTTTACACCCCTCCCACAATGACATTTCCCTGCAGTACTTTGTGTCTCTGCCCCTCCCACAATGACATTTCCCAGCAGTATTCAGTGTCTCTGGCCCTCCCACAATGGTAAGATTTCCTGCAGCATTATGTGTCTCTGCCTCTCCCACAATGACATTTCCCTACAATATTGAGCCTCCGCCCCTCTCACAATTACATTTCCCTGCAGTATTCAGTGTCTCCGCCCCTCCCACAATGACATTTCCCTACAATATTGAGCCTCCGCCCCTCTCACAATTACATTTCCCTGCAGTATTTATTGTCTCCATCCCTCCCACAATAACATGCAGTCCACCAGAAACCCAATCACCCCCTTCAGATCCTGGACCATGTTCTGGGGTTCACAGACAGAGGGCGCACTCTCAGCTGCAACTGGACACAAACCACGTTCTTACCGGCAACACCTCCACGTAGCCGTCTGCCATCTTGTTGAATATGACCAGCCCCCGCTTTAACTCGTCATCCACAAAGTAGGAGACTTTGTCCCCCTGATTGACGGGGGTCTGAGCCAAGGGGGACCCCAGAATGTCTGATGGCGCCGCTCCAGAGAAGAGGATCTTGTTGAACGGTAACAGCAGGCCGCTGTTCTGCTTACATTTGAAGAACGTCACCCCCCGAAATGTGCCGTCAATTTTGCCGCACCCTTCACCTTCCCCCTGTGGAATGGTTAGGGAATGAATTCAATACATTTCCAAGGTTTAGATAATTCTTATATCAGAAAATATTTGCATGTTACGCTGTTGCGATTTGGTGGATGGCTATGTTGAACCTTTTGATCGGTGGTCCCCAAACTGCGGCCCTTTATCTGGCCCTTGTGGCACTATTCCTTTCAATGATATGAGCTGGTATTCCTCCCACTGATACCAATGATGGAGCACTATTCCTTCCACTGACACCAATGATGGAGCACTATTCCCCCACTGACACCAATGATGGAGCACTATTCCCCCCACTGACACCAATGATGGGGCACTATTCCTCCCACTGACACCAATGATGGAGCACTATTCCTCCCACTGACACCAATGATGGGGCACTATTCCTCCCACTGACACCAATGATGGGGCACTATTCCTCCCACTGACACCAATGATGGGGCACTATTCCTCCCACTGATACCAATGATGGGGAACTATTCCTCCCACTGATACCAATGATGGGACACTATTCCTCCTACTGATACCAATGATGGGACACTATTCCTCCCACTGACACCAATGATGGGGCACTATTCCTCCACTGATACCAATGATGGGGCACTATTCCTCCCACTGACACCAATGATGGGGCACTATTCCTCCCACTGATACCAGTGATGGGGCACTATTCCTCCCACTGATACCAATGATGGGGCACTATTCCTCCCACTGGAACCAATGATGGGTCACGTTTCCTCCCACTGATGCCAATGATGGGTCACTTTTTACTCCCACTGACACCAATGATGGGGCACTATTCCTCCCACTGACACCAATTATGGGTCACTATTCCTCCCACTGCCACCAATGATGGGGCACTATTCCTCCCACTGATACCAATGATGGGGCACTATTCCTTCTACTGCCACCAATGATGGGGCACTATTCCTTCTACTGCCACCAATGATGGGTCACTTTTCCTCCCACTGGCACCAATGATGGGTCACTTTTCCTCCCACAGGCACCAATGATGGGTCACTTTTCCTCCCAGTGACACCAATGATGGGTCACTATTCCTCCCACTGGCACCAATGATGGGTCACTTTTCCTCCCACTGACACCAATGATGGGTCACTTTTCCTCCCACTGACACCAATGATGGGTCACTTTTCCTCCCACTGACACCAATGATGGGTCACTTTTCCTCCCACTGATACCAATGATGGGGCACTATTCCTTCCACTGATGCCAAGGATGGTGCACTATTCCTTCCACTGATACCAAGGATGGGGAACTATTCCTCCCACTAGTATCAATTAATCAATGATGGGACGCAACCCCTCCCACTGACACAAATTATGGAGCAGTATCCCTCCCACTGACACCAACAATGGGTCACTATTTCTTCCACTAATACCAATGATGAGGCACTACTCCTCCAACTGGCCACTAACCCTAAGGCCATGTTTATGCTCACTGATGCTGGGCCTGGGACATTTTTTAACCCCACTGACCACAATCAGGTCCCCATAAAGTCTGAAGGACAGTAAACTTGGCCCTGCTTTAGGCTCATCTGCTATTAAAACCATATAGTAAACTTCCTAGCCTCGGATCCAGAAGGACGGAACCATCTTTGTTTGAGGCATCGCTCAGAGTGACCATCTGTTTCCTGGACTGAGATTCCGGCTGACACAGCTCAGCCCTTGGTGCAACCTCTCACCTTGTGACTTACTACAATGTACAGTCTGATCACTGGGGGAGGGGAGACTGAGAAAATGCAATGCAGGGTCCAGGGGGAAAATGGAGGGTGCTGAGGAATAATGCAAAGGGTCCGGGGGACACTTAAGGGAGCTGAGGGACAGTGCAGGGTCTACAGGCAATGTGAGGGGGCTGGGTATTTTTTCTGGGTATTAGGGAACATGTGATGGGCTATGTTTTTTGGGAACAGTTGAGATAATTGAGGGACAGTGTTCTGGAGTCTGGAGGAAATGGGAGGGGGCTGGGAGACACTGCAGGTGATTGAGGGATAATTGAGACCACTGGGGGACAGTGCAGGGTCTGCTGGATATGAAGGGGACTCAGGGACAAACAAGGGACTAGGGGACACTAGAGTCCAGGGGAAAATTGGAGGGGGTTGAAGAACACTGCAGATGGCTGGGGAGCACTTGTAGGAGCTGGGGGACTCTTGTGGGTTCTGGGGGATAGTGCAAGGTCTAGGGGGTGACTTAAAAGGCCTGTGGACACTTTGGGGGCTTGGGGATAGTTCAGGGTCTAGAGGGAAATGCAGGAGGTTGGGGACACTGCAAGGTAATAATAGATAGTGGAGGGTCTAGTGGGCAATGTAAAGGTGCTGGGGGACACTGCAAGGTGATTAGGGATAGTGGAGGGTCTAGAGGGCAATGCAAAGGGGCTGGGGGACACTGTAAGGTGATGAGGGATAGTGGAGGGTCTAGGCGGGAATGTAAAGGGGCTGGGGGACACTACAAGGTGATGAGGGATAGTGGAGGGTCTAGGGGCAATACAAAGGGGCTGGGGGACACTGCAAGGTGATGAGGGATAGTGGAGGGTCTAGGCGGGAATGTAAAGGGGCTGGGGGACACTGCAAGGTGATTAGGGATAGTGGAGGGTCTAGGGGGCAATGCAAAGGGGCTGGGGGACACTGCAAGGTATGAGGGATAGTGGATCATCTAGGGGAGACATCAAGGAGGTTTCAAGACACTGCATGGTGCTGGGAGACATTGCAGGGTGATGGGGATAGTGGAGGGTCTAGGGGGCAATGTAAATGAGTGTGGGGGGATACTTGAGGATGCTGAGAGGACAGTGCAGAGTCTAGGGAAGAAATGGAGGGGGCTGCAAGATTCTACAGGGGGCTAGGCTAGGCTAGGAGTGCAGGGTCCAGAGGATAAAATGGAGGTTTCTGACGGACACTGCAGAGGGTCAGGGGACACTTGAGGGTTCTGGGGAAGAGTAGAGTCTAAGGGCATTGTAAAGGGGATGGGGGACAGTGCAGGGTCTAGAGGAAAATGCAGGAGGCTGGGGCACACTTCAGGGTGATGGGGGTCACTGCAGGGTCAAGGGGAGCGATGCAAAGGGGATAGGGGTCACTTGAGGGTGTTGGGAAGAGTGCAGGTTCTAGGGTAGCAATGTAAAGGGGATTGGGGTTGCTTGAGGGTGCTGAGGGACAGTGCATGTCTAGGGGACAAATTAGGGGGGCTGCAAGATTCTATAGGGGGCTAGGAGACAGTGCAGGGTCCAGAAGAAAAATGGATGTTTCTGACATACACTGCAGAGGGCTAGGGGACATTTCAGGGTTCTGGGGAAGAATGCCAGACCTAAAGGCAATGTGAGGAGGCTGGGGGACAGTGCAGGGTCTAGAGAATAATGCAGGGGGCTTGGGGAAACTTCAGGGTGACGGAGGTCACTTCAGGGTCTAGAGGAACAATGTAAAAGGGCTGGGGGTCACTTGAGGGTGTTGGGGAAGAGTGCAGGGTCTAGGGGAAATGTAAAGGGGCTGGGGGACACTTGAGGGTCCCAAGGAACAGTGCAGGGTGTACAGGGAAGTGCAGGGGTCTGGAGGACTCATATTTGCCACCCATCTACTCCAGCTGTGGTGGGATGTGACAACCCATTTCTTTTTATTATCAGGTCCTAGAGTTGTACAATAAAAGTAAGCACAGCCATAACAAAATATGATAGCTGGTGTCACTTACCTCCAGCTCCACCCCAAAGTATATGGGGGGCAGTAGGGCGCTGCTGTCCAAGATGTTGCCCACATAGTGTATAAAGGCCGGGTACAGCTTCTGCTCATGCTCCACCAGAACCCGCTGGCCCACCTCTGCCTTAACTGCCTGGTCCAGCAGGCCCCTCTCCAGGAAGCAGCTCAGCCGCTCGGTGGGGTTGGTGATGGCCAGGAGGAGGGCGGCTTGTCTCCTCTTCAGAGGTTGCAGGACATTGACATCTACCTCCACCAGAGCGCTCTCCTCTAGGAAGTGGACGTTGAGGGACTGCGTGGGGTTTTGGTCTCCTGTCACCCTCTGGAGATAGGACTCCTCACTCATGTAGCAAAGTTTGCCTGGCTCCATTGTCCTGTTGCCCACCGGGACCTTCTCCATCAGGATGAAGTACATCAAGAAGTCGTCCGTGTCTCTTTCCAGCTCCATGACATGCGGCCCTGTCCACAGGAGACCAGAAAACTTCCATGTAAAAAGATTCAGGCAGATCCGTGTCACTAATGACTCTAATCCCATCATTGCTCTGCAAAGCTTCCCCTTAATCCCTGACTGGCTCAGAGCGTGACGGCAGTACATGGGATGGGCAGATAATGGCTCTGCCTCTATGACACCCATGGAAATTGTGTCACAGTTGGGGGAGACTTCCCTTCACTTCTGGTTCTGACACTTATAGACAGAGATGAAAGGGAAATATCCCGAATGGGGTCATGGATAGCAATAAAACACTCTCAGAGGTTCTAACCTTTCCCCTGGTTGAAGCGGGGTTTTAACTAGTCAGTTTACAGAGACGCCCAAAAAGCATGCAGGCAGTGTTGGGATTTTGTTTCTCTCGTAACCCAATAAAACAAAAAACCATCACAGCTTTCTTTTGTGGCCTGCTACTCCTGACCCCCTTCTAAAAATGCCTATTTGCCTGGCTGTGCTAGGCTTTGATACTTTATAAGTTGCTAACCTGGACTGCCCCTGTTCCCCACCACTCACCTAAAGCTGTGGTCACATGACACTTCTGTCCTGGGTCTTCTCCCCTCTTTACAGCCAGTGGGGTCCTTTTTCAGGTGTCCACAGTGCTGCCTGTGTGATGTAGACACTTCCTATTGGCTGTCCAGCAGAAGAGGTCCTCTCAGGATCCAAAAGTAGAGTCTGGCTACAGTGCATCCAGAAAGTATTCCCAGCACTTAACTTCTGCCACATTTTGTGATGTTACAGCCTTATTCCAAAATGGATTAAATTAATTTTTTACTCCACATTCTTCAAACAATAGTCCATAATGACAACATGGCAAAAGTTAGTTTTGAAATCTTTGCAATTTATTAAAAATTAAAAACAAAAAAACCCCCCATGTACATAAGTATTCCCAGCCTTTGCTCCATCCTTTGTTGAAGCCCCTTTAGCACCAATTACAGCCTCGAGTCGTTCTGAGTACGATGCTACAAGCTTGGCACACCTATTTCTCCCATTCTTCTTTGCAGGACCTCTCCAGCTCCATCAGGTTGGATGGGGAGCGTCGGTGCACAGCCATTTTCAGATCTCTCCAGAGATGTTCAATTGGGTTGAAGTCTGGGCTCTGGCTGGGACCACTCCAGGACATTCTCAGAGTTGGCCCGTAGCCACTCCTTTGTTATGTGGGCTGTGTGCTGAGGGTCGTTGTCCTGTTGAAAGATGAACCGTCGCCCCAGTCTAAGGTCCAGAGCGCTCTGGAACAGGTTTTCATCAAGGATGTCTCTGTACATTGCTGCATTCATCTTTCCTTCCATCCTGACTAGTCTCCCAGTTCCTGTCTCTGAAAAACATCCCCACAGCATGATGCTGCCACCACCATGCTTCACTGTAGGGATGGTATTGGCCAGGTGGTGAGCAGTGCCTGGTTTCCTCTAGACATGATGCTTGGCATTCAGGCCAAAGAGTTCAAATCTTTGTTTCATCAGACCAGAGAGTTTTGTTTCTCATGGTCTGAGAGTCCCTCAGGTGCCTTTTGGCAAACCCCATGCGGGCTGCCATTTGCATTTTACTGAGGAGTGACTTTCATCTGGTCACTCTACCATACAGGCCTGATTGGTGGAGTGCTGCAGAGATGGTTGTTCTTCTGGAAGGTTCTCCTCTCTCCACAGAGAAACGCTGGAGCTCTTTCAGAGTGACCATCGGGTGCTTGGTTAAGGCTCTTCTCCTTCGATCACTCATTTTGGCCGGGCGGCCCACTCTAGGAAGATTCCTGGTGGTTCCAAACTTCTTCCATTTATGGATGATGGAAACCACTGTGGTCATTGGGACCTTTAATGCTGCAGAAATGTTTCTGTACCCTTCCCCAGATCTGTGCCTTCATACAATCCTGTCTCAGAGGTCTACGGACAATTCCTTGGACTCTATGGCTTGGTTTGTGCTCTAACATGCACTGTTACCTGTGGGACCTTCTACAGACAGGTTTATGCCTTTCCTAATCATGTCCAATCCACTGAATGTCCCAAAGGTGGACTCCAGTCCACTGAATGTCCCACAGGTGGACGCCAATCCACTGAATGTCCCACAGGTGGACGCCAATCCACTGAATGTCCCACAGGTGGACGCCAATCCAATCCACTGAATGTGTCCCACAGGTGGACGCCAATCCACTGAATGTCCCGCCACAGGTGGACGCCAATCCACTGAATGTCCCACAGGTGGACTCCAATCAAGTTGTGGGAACATCTCAAGGATGATCAGTGGGAACAGGATGCCCCAGAGCTCAATTTCCAGTGTCACGGCAAAGTCCGGGAATACTTATGTACAAGAGTTATTTTTCTTCATTTTTTTGGGAATAAGGCTGGAACATGACAAAATGTGGCAAAAGTTAACTGCTGGGAACACTTTCTGGATGCGCTGTACATTAGTGTTGCCAGCGGTTTAGACATTAATGGCGGTGTGTTGAGTTATTTTGAGGGGACAGCAAATTCACGTTATACAAGCTGTACACTGATTACGTCACATTGTAGCAACGTGTCATTTCTTCAGTGTTGTCACATGAAAAGAGAATAAAATGTTTACAAAAATGTGAGGGGGGGGGGGGGGGACTCACGTCTGGGAGATACTGTATATTTATATACATATATATATATACACACACACACACACACACATATACACATACACAGTTGTGTTTAAAATAATAGCCATCAGACATCACTAACCGGATCAATCACTGTTTTTGGTGGAAATGATATTTCTACATGGCAAATAATTTCCTAGCAGGTGTAGTAGAGTCATAGAAATCCAACAGACCCAACAGTCATGACATGCATGCTGCTGATTCTGTGTCATTGAATCACTCATTGAGGGTCGTGTTCAAAATAATAGCAGTGTGGAGTTCTATTAGTGAGGTCATTCATTCTTTGAAAAACAGGTGGCAATGATTGCCCTTATTTAAGGAAGGAAGGCAGCAAATGTTGGACATGCTGGTTACAGTGCATTTCTCTCTGAAATTCTGAGGAAAATGGGTCGTTCCAGACATTGTTCAGAAGAACAGCGTACCTTGATTAAAAAGTTGATTGGAGAGGGGAAAAACATATAAAGAAGTGCAGAAAATGATCGGCTGCTCAGCTAAAATGATGGCAAATGCTTTAAAATGGCAACCAAAACCTGAAAGACGGGAAAGAAAGCGAAAAACTACCATTGGAATGGATAGAAGAATAGCCAAAATGGGGCGCACTCAGCCAACAATCAGCTCCAGGAAGATGAAAGAAGGTGTGACGTTCCCTGTGAGGACTCAGCCAACAATCAGCTCCAGGAAGATGAAAGAAGGTGTGACGTTCCCTGTGAGGACTGTTACAATTAGAAGACGCCGATGTGAAGCCAAGCTATCTGCAAGAAGTCCCCGCAAAGTCCCACTGTTGGGAAAAAGACGTGTGCTGAAGAGGTTACAATCTGCCAAAGAGCACATTGACTGGCCTAAAGAGAAATGGTGCAACATTTTGTGGACTGATGGAAGTAAGATTGTTCTTTTTGGGTCTAGTGGGCGGAGACAGTTTGTCAGACGGCCCCCAAACACTGAATTCAAGCCACAGTACACTGTGAAGACCGTGAAGCATGGTGGTGCAAGCATCATGATATGGGGATGTTTCTCATACTACGGTGTTGGGCCTATTTATCGCATACCAGGCATCATGGATCAGTTTGAATCCATCAGAATACTTGAAGAGGTCATGCTGCCTTATGCTGAAGAGGAAATGCCCTTGAAATGGGTGTTCCAACAAGACAACGACCCCAAACACACCAGTAAACGTGCAACATCTTGGTTCCAGACCAACAAGATGGACGTTATGGAGTGGCCAGCCCAATCCCCGGATCTTCATCCAATAGAAAACTTGTGGGGTGACATCAAAAAATGCCATTTCTGAGGCCAAACCAAGAAATCGAGAAGAACTGTGGAATGTGGTCCAATCATCCTGGGCTGGAATACCTGATCACAGGGGCCAGAAGTTGGGGGACTCCATGCAACACAGATGTACAGCAGTTCTCAGAAACAGTGCGACTACAACCAAATATTCATGAAGTCATTCAAAGGAAAGCAAAATCTTCAAACATTTCTCAGTTTATATAGTGAATGTTGGAGTTTGTAAAGAAGAATACAAACACTGCGATTTTTTTGAACCGTCTAATATTCACTTTTCTTCCATTTTTTTCTTCCTGTTGTGATTTGGAATAGAATGTGTCGTGTTCCCAATGCATTTGTGTGGATGGAAATAAAAACTATTAGAAGGATTTTCAGCTTTATTCACTTTTTTCAACACACTGCTATTATTTTGAACACAACTGTATATATATATATTTATAGTTATTTTATTTTTTAAATATATTTTGAAATATATCAAATACTAAATTGTAGTATTTCACATATATGTCAATATATTTGGGAAGAATATGTTTAAAATATATTTCAAATATATTTTTTCTCCATGTGGGTAGGTCTAGAGAAAACTGTACAACCAGATTGTATAGTGTATGGTCATCTTTACAGAGCCCCAGGCTCCACCTAGAACTTTAGGTGGACTGGCATTTAAATAGCTACTGCGTATTCTATAAGGTGACGGACATTCAATGTGAGATTTACCTGGATCAATACTCTGGTTGGCTGTAAAATGTGTCAATCATCTGCCCTCGCCTGCATCTTCTCGTCCTTAGGAGGAAAGCAATGTGTGTGTAGTTCATCGGGCGCCGACCGTGCGCGGGGGGACCTGCGATAAGCACAGAAGGATGATTACATTCCTTATAGGTGATACGATGAACACTATGCAACAGGCGTGCTTTACACGTTGCACTAAAAAATAAAACACTTTTCCACAAATAACCTCCAAAATGTGTACAGAGCTACAGAATATATTGGTGCCACCTGATCACTCCACCTTTCTAGTAGTTAAAGGGCAACTCCACCAAGCACCCATTCATAGTGTAGGAGGTAT